TGCTGCTGCTGCTGCTGCTGCATGGGCGGCTGCTGCCCCGGCTGCATCTGGGTGAGGGCCTGCTGCTGCTGCATCTGCGCCGCCTGCTGCTGCGTCTGCGGGGGCGGCTGCTTCTGCTGCTGCACCTGCTGCTGCTGCTGCTGCTGCAGCGCGGCCTTCTCTGCCAAGTCCGTGACCAGTTCCCAGCTGCCGTGCACATTTTCCTTCAGCAGTAAAACAGCAGAGTCGCCGCATGCAGCAGCTAATAAAGTCCCGCTGCTGCTCCAGGAGACTCTCCAGACGGGAGCGTCGAAGACGAGGGTCTGCAGCAGCCGCCACTTGTACTGCTGCGGCTGCTGCTGCTGCTGCTGCTGCTGCTGCTGCGGGGCGGGGGGCTCGCCCAGCCAGAGCTTCACAGTCTTGTCTTCGCTGCAGGAAGCCAGCAGCAAAGCCCCCGGCAGCAGCACAGCAGCAGCACCTTGCGGCCTGAAGGCCACATCTCTTACCCAGTCCGAGTGCTGCTCGCCCTCCATTGGCGGCAGCTCCGTGCACTGCTGCAGCCCCACACGCATGCACGCACAGCCCCCAAACGCATGCATTCTTGCATGCATGCATGCATGCATGCATGCGGCCTTGCATGCATTCATGCATGCAAGGAACCGCACACGCCTGCAGGCCAGCTGCAGCCAACTAGGCAGACGCACAGCCATCCACGCAACCATGCATGCACACCAGCTAGGCAAAACCCAAACATGCATGCATGCATGCGCGCATGCATGCATGCATTCATGCATGCATGCATGCGTCCTTGCATGCATGCACGCATGCATGCAATGGACCACAAATGGCCTTCTGTTCTACTCAGGAAAAGCTAAAATTACACTCCACCAGGTGTATCTACCGGAAGGCATGCCCCCGCACGCATGCAAAACGCCAACAAAATACAGCAGCAGCAGCAGCAGCAGCAGTGCAGCAGCAGCAGCAGCAGCAGCGGGAGCTCACCTTTGAAGAGTCGACCTCCCAGAGGCGGACGCGGTTGTCGCTGCTGCCTGCTGCCAGCAGCAGCCCCGCGGCCTCCGGCGCAAAGGCCAAAGCATTCACGGAAGCCAAATGGTCTTCGTTGGAATAAACTGCAGCAAAACCTCCAGAGCCTTCTTGCTGCTGCCACAGCACAACTCTTCTGTCGTAGCCGCAGGAGCCCAGCAGCTGCCCGAAGCGGGGGTGAGCCCAGCAGACCTGCGCAGCAGCAGCTTCCGCAATTCAACTTTTGCAAATTTGCAAAAGATTGCGAAAAAAGCTTTAAAAAGAAATTAAACATTACTGAATTGTTATATCATTATTAAGTACCATTTCGGGGGGGAAGGGGGCACAAATTCGAGAAAAAACCAGAAAAATCGACAAAAGTTGGCGCAACTTGCATGCAAAGTGCAGATGAAATGAAGACAAAAACGAACGACTCGAGAAAAAAGCTCAAAATTCCCGACAGATCTGACTAAATTCGAACGCAGAATGCAGAGTGTTCTCCTGCTGCTTCTGCTACTGCTGCTGCTGCTCGTGCTGCACTTGAAAGCCTAAAAATGTGCTCGGGAGAGCAGGCGGGGCGTCGCCGGGAATTTGCAAGAAGAGGAATACGAGCGATCTTCCTCTTTTTTGCCTCTGCTGCATGCGCTGCTGCATGCACAGTGTTGTGTTGCTGATTAAAAACGACAATTAGTGGCGTCTCAGCGTGAGATTCGCCGCGGAGCAGCTTCCGAGGAAGCTGCTTGCTGCTGCAGCTGCTGCTGCAACTCACCTGCCAGACAGGCCCGCTGTGGCCGTGCAGCTCCTGCAAAAACTGAGCGCCTCTAGAGTCCCCCGAAACTTCCCAAAGACGAATGGACTCGTCGCTGCTGGCGGTGGCGACTTTGGTGCCGTACAAGTCGAAGGAAATGGCGTGCAGCGGGCCGCCGTGGAAGGTCTCGAAATGGGAAGCGAGCTGCGTCATGCTGCCGATCTCGGGGAAAATCGAGAAGAAAAAGACCAGTTTATTCCAATTATCCAATTTAAAACCAGCTTACTGCATGAATTCCAGACCAACTGACCGCGCCGATCATGCCATGGGCGGTTCATAACTCACCATGAAGACACCCGAAACAGAGGCCGACTGCCCGTCGCCGCCGCCTCCCACGAAGCGGAAATAACTCACTTTTCAGGTTTTGTTCTTTTTAAATTGCATTTCTTTTTCGAGGTCCATTCGCAAACAAAACAGAGGCCAGCGGCGGGCCGGGCGGCGCTACTCTCTGCGACACAGCCTCTGTGCTTCATACATGCAATAGGCACGCATTGGGGCTCTCCTTGGACGAAAGCGGCTTTCGCCTCCAGTGAGTCGCACATTAAGTGGAATTTATTTCGTTTTTTCCTCGAAAGAAAGCGAACAACACTTGCACGTTCTTCGGTGGCGGCGCATGGCCGGCGTTCAGCTTCTGCACATCCGCCGCAGCTCTCTGGGCAGCCGCCAGCTCTCCCGCTCCCCTTTTTCGCAGTTTCTTAAGAGTTTTCTTTCCTTTTTTGGCCCAAAGACTCGACTTTGACCCTCCGCAGCGCCAGTTTCAGCAGCCCCAGCTGCCCGTGTCTGCTGCAGTCGGCCTGGCCGCGGTTTGCTACACCCAGCGATCCGCCCGCTGTGCGCAGCCGCAGCGGCTTCTGCGCCTGCGGGGGCCCCTGAAGTGACCAGTGGTCCATTTCTGCTGCAGTGGTCCTTCCTGTGCATGCAGCTGCATGCGCGCGGAGGCAGCCCCGAACTGCTGCTGCTGCTCCCTTAGCCTCTGTGTCAGCACCTTTTGCCGGAATGAGCGTCGACGTCGCAGTGCAGCAGCCTGCAGCAGCAGCAGCAGCCACGAAGGCTGCTGCTGCTGCTGCTGGCGACGCCGCGCAGCAAAGCAGCAGCAGCAACAGCAGCAGCGGCGAGGGACTTCGCCGCTATTTAGAGTCAAAAGTCGAGCAGCTCGAAAGAACAATTGCGGAGAAGACTCAAAACAAACAAAGACTTGAGGCCCAGAGAAACGAATTCAACGCAAAGGGTCAGCTTGCTGCTGCTGCTGCTGCTGCGTGGCGTTCGCTGCTGCGGTTGACTGTGCAGCAGCTGCTCATTTGCTGCTGCTGCTGCTGCTGCTGAGGACTGCAGCAGCACCGCGGTTGGCTGTTGCAGCTCAACTCCAGGGCTTAGGGCTTAGGGTTTAGGGTTTAGGGGCTGAGTTGCCGCGGGGACTGCTGGAGGACCGTTATCGCTGCTGCTGCTGCTGCTTCTGCTGCTGCTGCTGCTGCAGTGCGGGAGCTGCGGGAGGAAATCCAGCTGCTGCTGGAGCCGGGCTCTTATGTGGGGGAAGTGGTGAAGGTAATGGGCCGCGACAAAGTTTTGGTCAAAGTGAGATTTATTTTATTTTATTTATTTTATTTTTTTACTTTATTATTTGATTTATTTTATTTGATTTATTTTGTTTTATTTTATTGTTCTTTCGTTTCGTTTTCGTTCAACTCTTTTTGCTGTCTTTCCCGTTTCTTCCGCTGCCTCTTTTTGTCTTTCTTTTGTTTTCTTTTTACCGTTTTCTTTTTTGTTGATTTTTTATCTTTTTATTCTTTTCTGTTTTGATTGCTTTTGATTTTACCTTTTTTCTTCTTTTTGCTTTTGAAGAGCTTCGCTTTCGTCTTCTTCTCTTTGCTGCTGCTGCTGCTGCTGCACTCCCCTCCCAGTCAAAACCCGAATCTAGGTTTTCAGATTCCTGCTGCTGCTGTTGCTGCTACTACTACTAACACCACTACTTCCACCACCCCCACTGCTGCTGCTGCTGCTCCTCCTACAACTACCACTGCTGCTGCTGCTGCCACCACAACTACCACTGCTGCTGCTGCTGCTGCTGCCCCTCCGACCACTCCTGCTGCTGCTGCTGCCCCTCCGACCACTCCTGCTGCTGCTGCTGCCCCTTCCACCGCCCCTGCTGCTGCTGCTCCTCCCACCACTTCACCGCCGCACCCCCCACGCCCACCCCCCCGCCGCGCTGCCGCTGCTGCCGCTGCTGCCGCTGCTGCTGCTGCTGCTGCTGCTGCTGCAGGTGACCCCCGAGGGCAAGTACGTGGTGGAGGTCTCGAAGAGCGTGGACCTGGCGCAGTGCACGCCGAACTCGCGCGTGGCGCTGCTGAACGACTGCTACCGGCTGCATGCAGTGCTGCCTTCGAAGGTGGACCCGCTGGTGTCTCTGATGAAAGTGGAAAAAGTTCCCGACAGCACTTACGAGATGGTCGGCGGCCTCGAGCAGCAAATCAAGGAGGTCAAGGAGGTCATCGAGCTCCCCATCAAGCACCCCGAACTCTTCGAGTCCCTCGGCATTTCCCAGCCCAAGGTCTCCCGCTGCTGCTGCTGCTGCTGCTGCTGCTGGGGGCGGCGGGGGTGGTCGTGGGGTGCTGCTGCTGCGGGGCGGCGGCGGGGCGGGTGGTGCTGCTGCTGCCAGGTGTGTGGCGGCGCCGCTGCCGCCGGGTGTGACGCTGCTGCTGCTGCTGCTGCTGCTGCTGCTGCAGGGCGTGCTGCTGTACGGGCCGCCCGGGACGGGGAAGACGCTGCTGGCGCGGGCGGTGGCCCACCACACGGACTGCACCTTCATCCGCGTCTCGGGGGGCGAGCTGGTGCAGAAGTACATCGGGGAGGGCTCGCGGATGGTGCGGGAACTCTTCGTGATGGCGCGGCAGCACGCGCCTTCGATAATTTTTATGGACGAGATCGACTCGATAGGCTCGCAGCGCACGGAGGGCGAGCACGGCGACTCCGAGGTGCAGCGCACCATGATGGAGCTGCTCAACCAGCTCGACGGGTTCGAAAGCACCAAGAACATCAAGGTCCTGAGCCGCGACAGTTTGAATTTTAGTGTTTTTCGTTCTTTTTCGTTCAAGTGTTCGGGCTCAGGCCCTGTGGCGGCGCGGATCGCGGCGCGGAACCCGCAGCAGCAGCAGCGGCGGAAACGCGCAGCAGCAGCGCCAGCTGCAGCACTCCAGGATTCGTTCCCAGGATTCTGCACTTTTGCTGCTGCGAAAAAAGAGGACTTGTGGCGGCAGCGTTTTGGGCCCCGGAGCCCGATTTGTGCAAAGTTTGAACGTTTTCTTCTTCGGCGTTGATGCATCCGAAAATGCATGCACATGGGTGGCTTTTGCTGCTCTTTCACAAGATTTATTCAATTCGCTTTAGTCAACTCCACACCTTTTGCTTCTGCTGTTTGGAGAAGATGTTTAAATGAGTTTCATTCGTTTGCGGGCCAAGTGGCTGCCAGCAGGCTGCGTGACAGTGCATGTGCGCAGAATTTGAATATGTGCATTTATGCACCATTGTACTTATTTATGCATTTATCTACCATTTTAATGTTGTATATATATACTTTATGCATGTATTATCTATTTTTACATGCATTTCCATCCATACTGCACACATAAACGTATATTATGCAATGCACAAACGCATGTTTGCAGAATTTGTTTCTCTTTTGCTGCTGATTTCGGAGCTCATTTGAGGCGATCTTTGAATGCCTTTTTGTTTTTACTTTGCCAAGTTTTGGCTGCCGCTTAATTAGACAAAGACTCCGGGGCATGGGAAGGGGGGAGCTGAATATATTAGCGGCTGCTGCTGCTGCTGCTGCTGCAGGTGATTATGTGCACGAATAGAATTGACATTTTGGACGAAGCGCTTTTGAGGCCAGGCCGAATTGACCGGAAGATTGAATTTCCCCAGCCGAACCTGGAGGTGGGCACTTGCAGCAGCAGAAATCTTGAATTTCTTTTCAATTTTTTGCCTGTTTGATGTATTTAAAGCTCTTGCATGTCTTCCTTCTTCTTATTTAAAGAAATACATTTCAAAATGCCCGGAAAGATCCTTAAATTGCTTCAAATAAGTACTTGCTGCTTCGCGCTTGAGCCATTTTGCTGCTGCAGCGCAGGTTTCTCGACGCATGCAGAGCAGCAGCAGCAGGAATTTGCGTTTCTGGCTGCCAAAACGGACATATTTTGGATGCAAATAAATAAATTTTGAAATATTTTGCAATTAAAAGAATTTATTTGCAAATATTCTGCAAGAAAGCTGCGTATTCTGCTGCTTTCCAGGCCCGCACTGAAATCCTCAAGATCCACAGCCGCAAGATGAATCTCGTGAGGGGAATAGACCTCAAGAAGATTGCCCAGGAGACGAACGGCGCATCTGGTGCAGAAGCCAAGGTGCCTGTTGTCTAGGGTTTAGGGTTTAGGGTTTAGGGTTTAGGGTTAGGGTTTGGGGCTTGGGGGCCGCGGCTGCGCGTCAGCACTCAGCGACGAACGCGCAACTCTTCATGGAAAGCCTCAGGAAGTTTGCTGATCTGCACCCGAGGGTCTGGAGTCTAGGGTTTGGGGTTTAGGGTTTAGGGTTCAGGGTTTAGGGTTTAGAGTTTAGGGTTTAGGGTTTGCTGCGTGTTCTGAACTTCATTTGTGTGCTCCCGGCTGCCAGTGCTGTGACAGGCAAATAGCGGAATGAACAGAAAGGGAAATAAAACTTCAATAAAGAAACTTTTTTCTTTAATTACTTTATTTTAAAAACAGTTTTATTTTTATTATTTTCCTTTTTTATTTTTCCTTTTCTTGAAAAGGGTGCTTGTTGTTCGCGTGCGTTTCTGAATTGAACTGGTCCATTCACACCGTTTCGCTCCTTCTTGATTGGCCATTTACAACTTGTTTTCATTTATTTATTTATTATTTATTTATTTATTATTTATTTATTTGTCTGTTTGTTTATTTCCATCAGGCTGTTTGCACGGAGGCGGGGATGTTCGCCTTGCGCGAGAGGCGAATGCATGTGACGCAAGAAGACTTTGAAATGGCGGTGGCGAAGGTTTGTTTTTTTTTTATTTTTGAACAATTAATTGATAAAATTAATTAAATTAATTAATTATTTGTTTCAATTAATTAAATTAGTTAAATTAATTGAATTAATTGAGTCAATTGTATCAATTGAATTCAATTCGTCTTTTTGAATTTGAAAACTGCCGAAGGCAAGCTCGCGTTACTTCGACTGTCTTTAAATGTTTTCCACTTTTGCCATTTGAATTATTTTTCTTTTTCATTTGTTTTTTACTTTTATTTTATTTTATTTTTTGGTTTTTATTTTTAATGTCTTATATTTATTTGTTTCTTTCTTTTTGTCGTTTTGCCTTTTTGCTGCTGCTGAGATTTAATTGTTTTGGCTTTGAGCGCTCTTGGCGTTTCCTTTTGCTTTTTTGCCTTTTCATTACGATTTATTTATTTTATTTTTTTGTTTTTATTCGTTTCTGCAGCAGTTTTTAATTTCTGATTATTTTGTTTTAACTTTCTTGTTGTCTTTGAACTTGTCTGTAATCCTTTCTTTTTCGTTTTGTTTTTCATATTTCCTTCTTTTTTATTATTTTAAATTTATTTTATTTTTAAGTAGATAAAATGATTTATTTATCTCATTTTTTAAATAAAGTAAAATAATTGTGTTTCTCCAATTGCATTTCAGGTGATGAAGAAAGAAGCCGAGAGAAATATGTCTTTGCGCAAACTGTGGAAATGAAGAAAAAGAAATAAGACAAAAAGTAATAAAAAACAAAAAGGAATTAAAAGACAAAAAAAATAAAAGGACAAAAAGAATAAAAACGAAAAAGAACAGACAAAAAGAATAAAAAGACAAAAGGAATAAAAAGACAAACAGCAAACATTAACTCTTTAAGCAGAGTCGCCGCGTCTCACAGCTTCTGCCGCTAGACGAGGCTGCAACAGCAGCAGCAGCAGCAGCAGCTGCTGCTGCTGCTACCTTTTAGATTTAAATAAAAGCCCAAGGCACTTTGTGCCGCCTCTGCAGCAACAGACCCCATTATATTTTCCGGAGCAATTTCTCTTCCTTGTTTATTCAAAAAAATAAAATTAAATAATTCTAATTAATTATTTGATTTTATTTGTTTTAAATAGTTAAAACTAAATATAAAAGAATGAAACAAAAGAAAACGGGCAAAATTCAAATCCACCACTCCATACAGTTTAGGAGAGCAGCAGCAAATGGGCAGTTTGCAGTTTCTTTCTATTTTCCTTGTGTGTTTATTTTAATTATTTATTTTAATTATTTACTTGTATTCATTAAAACTAATTTTGTTCGTTTATTTATTATTTATTGAAACTAATTTGCTCCTCAGTTCATCGGTGCTGCGTCTCGTGCTCTGGCTTCTGCTTTCTTGTTGCTTTCCCGTTTGTTTTTTTGTTCTCCTTTTTTGAATTTTTTGTTTCTTTCGTTTCAATTTGCTTATTTCTTTGTTGTAAATTGTTATTAATTTATTTTCTTCTTTTAATTAATATTAGAAGCGTCTGCCGGTTGTAGCGGTTTGTGCGCCTTTACAACTTAGACTGTTGGGGTGTATGTACACCCGAAACAAAGGCAATCCTTGCTGCTTCCTTCAACGCTTTCCTCTCTTTATTTCCCTTGAGGAATTAAAATTTAATTTTTAATTTAATCTTTCTTTCATATTGCTGCTGCAGCGCAGCTTAAACGAAAGAAAAGTGGCAAAAAATTGCAGCGGAAAAGAAAAAGAACTGTCGCGAGCCTTCTGCGATTCTGCTGCAAAAAATTAACCCTGAGGGACTCCATGCCCACCTCTCGTTGCACAAAATCAAAATAAATTACTTCAAAATAAAAAAATA